CACCTTGCCGAGGCAGCATAGAGAGACACATCTCCAAATAGCTGTCTAGGCTGTCCAGGCATACAAATGTTTGCCCCAGTTTGGGCATCCTGCTGCTTTCCATTAGGGAAGGCCCAGAGCATGTCTTCTTCCTCACAATGACCCCTGGGTGGCATTTCTGTTAGAAGGAGTAGAAGTGTAAAAAGACACATATGGCAAACTGTCACCCTGTCCTCATCAAGCGCTGCTTTTGGTTGACTGTAAATTTGGGAACAGCTCTGAATTCAGACAGACTCAGTAAAACTTTACTAAAAAGAAGGTGACAACTCATCCTGTTAGTTCTCAACCGAGTCTCTCTCTAAGGGACACATAGAAATGTGGGTATCATAACACTTCGTAACATTGCTTGGCTCTCAAGTATATTTGTTGCCCATGCAAATGAGCTGTGTAGCCCTCACTGAAGCCAGGGCTCCTGAGTGTAGGCAACAGAAAGCAACATGGTTGTAGGGAGATTGGGCAGCAGTAGTAAATGAGAGGAGGTAAAGGCCAAGGAAGAAAGTAGGCAGATGCAGGGAAGAACAAGAGGTCCAAACCAGCCCCCTGCTTATTTTAGTAGAGACCATTGACTAAGAGACCTCTGCATTTCACAACTCTCTTGGGACTGGCACCTGGGTGGCCGCCTGTGAATTCTCATTGGCTCTTTTTCTGGGCCTTACATGCTCCAGAGTTATAGTACAGGCCTGAGCTTCTGATTGGTCAAGCTTAAGTCACATGCTCAAATCTAATAGTCAGAGCCTTGGCAGAAGAAGGGAACTTGGGGCTGGTCCTGTGGTCACAAACACAAAGGCTGTCTGGCTTGTTTCTGGTTCCACAAAACATAGGTGCTCCCTGCAGACAGTGAAGGAAGGGGTTAGTTGTGGCATAGAAACAAACAAAAGTCAAATACCAGCAAGTATTTGCCATGTTTTTTCCTTTCTTGCCCTAATATGTGCTTTTGCTAGCCAGTTATAACTGTCAGTAATCTTGCTGGAAAGAGGTCTCAGCAGAGAATCTAAAAGGCTGTATCATCAAAGCCTAGGTTTGTTGTAGGTCCTGGGTAACTGAACACATGTCTGTTCACCTCAGGTGAGGAACCAATGACAGACCAAAGAGATGAAGTCCCCAAGGCTAGCTTAGTGAACCAATGGCGTTAGGTAACAATTGAAGTTACCTGTAGGAACATGGGCTCCTTCTATACCACTGAAGAAAATGCCTGCCTCCCCCTAGCAACTGTTACCTGCTTATATGCCTCAGGAAAGGTGGGGCCTCGTGAGCTCCTTCCTCCCATGATGGAATATTAATGAGCCTGGTCTCATATGGGTATTATGTGGGTAAGATCAGCTGCTGAGAGTTCAAGAGGGCAACAGTCTTGTCATGCCCTAAGTACGGTGTCCCACTACAGTCGGGCTCTTAACAAGGTCTAATTGGGGGCCTCAAACTGTCGTGTGTGCTTGGGGTTATACCCTAGAGAATGCTTTCCCTGTGATAGCGAGAGGCCCCTCCAGGCTGCTGGCAGTAAGGCCAGCTTGGGGTTGGGAGTGCTCTGATTAGCTCAATTAAAGTCATGTGACTGTACCTGAGGTGAGAGGGACTGTCAGTGCCCTAGGAACTGAGGGATCAGTTTCCTCAAGGCAAAGTGGACCCGTCTTTCTGGAGGACCAAAGACAGAAGGTCCCAGGTGGAAATGACCCCATACAATGCTGAGCATCAAGGAGGTCCCCTCTACATCAGTTCAAAGTCCCAGGACATGGAACAAGCTGAGTCTGCTCCTGATTTGCCTAGGGAAGGGTGGGGGAGGCTGCACACCTGCATCCAGGAACACAGGTAATCAGACATAGTCCTGTTCAGGTGCTTGCCAGTCAGGGCAGGGAAGGGATAGGAGTGGCATCTCCTGTCCACAGGAAGCCCAGGAGCTGCACTTCTGCTTCTCTGAGCCCATTCAGCTGGCACACATGTGAGCAAGCACAGGCCACAGAGATAGTGGTCTGCTCTCTGTGCCTATGGTGATATATTGTTTATGATTTATTAAAGCTTGCCTGAGGGTTCAGAATGCAAAACCAACCATACTAGTTAGCTATGGAAACTAGGTGGTGGTGCTACACACCTTTAATTCCAGGACTCAGGATTAAGAGGTAGATGGATCTCTGTTAGTTCAAGGCCACACTGACTACATGAAATCAATCCAGTCCTAAAAGAAACAGCTTATACAAAGGTGATCTCAGCACTTGGAATCACACGCTTTTAATCTCAGCACTAGGTGGGTGGAGACAGGAGTGATATGGCTAGGCAGAGAAAGGAATAAAAGGCAGGAGGAGACAGGAACTGAGAGCTTTTGCCTCTGAGGATTCATTGGGACAGGATTGCCATTTCAGCTGGGTAGAGGTAAGATCTACTGGCTTGGCTGCTTGGCTTCTCTGATCTTCAGCTTGAATCTTGAATCCCCAAATCTGTCTCTGGGTCTTGTGCATGTGTTACAGTGCCCATTCATTCTGGGTTAATTACAGAGGCAGCACTGTGCTAAGTTCTGGATCCAGGACCAAAGCACTGGTTCACATTGTGGACACCACAGTGTCATAGAGGAGACTGTCATAAGGCCCTGGTAGGGCTAGAGAGATGGTTAAGAACACCGGCTGCTCTTTCAGAGGATCCAAGTTCAACTCCAAGAACAACTCCAAGCACCTGTATGATTGCTAACAACTGTACTTCCACTCCCTGGAGATACAACAAGCTCTTCTGTCTTCCTCAGGCACTGCACACATGTGGTGCCCAGACATACATGCAGACAAAGCACCTATACACATAAAATACAAATAAGCCTTATAAAAAGAAGAGCCTAGTATAAATGTGATGGTCTAAAAGGGGCAAGAAGTCCAGCCATTAAGAGATAGCCTAGATACAGACATGGAGGCTCCAGTTCCAACTCCACCACTGACTAGCTCTGTGACCTTAGGCAAGTGACACACCTAACTGGGCCTTCCGTCTCCCCATCTGTACAATGGGGACGATAATTTGTGCATCATAGGCTTCTATGTGCATTCCTGTGTCAGGACAGGCTTAGTTGTCAGAATGACTCCTGCTCTGGTTACTCTTAGTAAGTGTTGGCTAATCTTGTGATGACATCACTGTTTTCCTGTGTACTGTCATCACCAGAACACACCACTCAGCCAGCAAAGATTAAAGAAATCTTTTGGAAGGAGAAAGGCCTCAAATCCCTGAGAACTGAGGTAGAGAAGGGAGGGAGGAAGAAACAGCTGAACAAAGTCATGGGATTTAAGGGGGGCAGGAGAGGCAGGGTGGGGGGTGTTTAGATTTGTATCTACTGAAGAGGAAATGATGGGTTCCAGTGGAAAGAGTTCGGGAGAGCATTAGTCAACAGACCCCTAGCCTTCCTCTGCCCAGGAGCCTGTTGGGGAAGTGGGCTTGAAGGCTTTCCAGATGAACAAGTTAGCTCCTAATGAGACAAGGTGTTGGCTGACGGATCAAATTGTACCCACCCACCTCCTCCAGCAGCCTAGGAATTAGCTCACAGCTGGCCAAGCATCCTGTGCTATCCTGGAAGCCAGGGAGCATGTTTGAACAGCAGTTGTGAGTGCAGAGTGGGTCCCCAGGCCCACACATCATTTCTTCAGGAAGGCTGGTACACCTGCAAGGCTTGTCCTGGCTGTTAATGGGGTGTCTGTCATGTGGAGTATACCCGAGCCTGGTGGGATTCTGGGATGATCTCCTTTTTCCTGATGTCCTAGCCCCAGGTCTGAGGATGCCCTTTGGCTTTCTGCTTTTGCTCTGTGCTTACTGCTCCAGGAGAATCTAGGTTAGTTGAAAAGCCTTGTTGCCCAGCCTGTCAGAGGGGTCTTCCTGAGCCCAGGCTCCAGAATACCCTAGTATATCAAGAAAGACAGGAGGGCCCTTCTGCCATTCTGCCCACCCAAAAGCTGCCCCAGATTTGGCACCTGTTACAGACACCCATTCAGCACTTGCTACCAGCTCAGGATGGAGTTAGCTAAGTGGGCAGTTGAGAGTGAACCTCTCTCCTGGCACCTCCCCAGGCCTGTGTGGGTAACATTCCAGGCCAACTCCTACACCTAGTTATAGAGGAAGGAAGAAACCCTCAGGCCTCTTCAGACACCTGGGTCATTTGGTTTCCAAGGGAAGGTTTGGAAAGAGCAGAGATGATTCAGGTCACCGGAAAGGTCAAGGGCCCATGGATGACGGCTCAGTGTGGAGGTGGAACTGTGAATGTGGGCTCATCAGTATGTTCCCTCCACTTTGCAACCTTTTAAATGTAGTTTTAACTAGGCCTCTTGCATGTTAGGCCTCAGATCCCCTCAGTGACCTACACACTTAACAGAGACCTTCAGTTTGTTAATACCCTGCAGCTATCACCCTGAAATGCTTAGGAACCTTTTTCTTTTTAAAACCAAGAAGATCCCAGTGTTTGCATTTTGCACTGAGCCCAGTCTGCAGATTGTGCAAGTTCTGGCTGTACCAACATCTCAGAAGAGGATGGAGAGGCTCAACCCACAGGTCCAGAACACAGACCTGACAGCTGCCTTCCAGCTCTGAGCTGGGTAGAAAGAAACTGACTGTGTGCCCAGGTCCCAGCTGGCAGTGGCCTATAGCCAGCTCGTGGAAGCACCGCACCTTCCCCAACTCTGTGCTTCCCTGTCTCCCTGCTCTCCTGCTTGCTTCTTGGATGAGACTGAGGCTGGAGAGAGCCAGAGTGTGCCCAGTTCTTCACAGGCACCATGAAGGCAGTGAATCAAAGGTTCCCCTAGGCTGAGTCATCTCACTGAGCTCCTCTTCAGGCCTTCTCTGAGTCAGAAACAGTAATTAAAACAAAGCCACACAGTGAGACTCAAGAGGAGA